TTCAGCAGTGGCCCCACATTGTCCCTAGCCTTCCTTTTGCTGCTGATGTAGTTGAAGAAGCCCTTCTTGTTGTTTTTGACATCCCTTGCCAGTTTCAATTCCAGGTGGGCTTTGGCCTTCCTCGTCGCATCCCTGCACGCTTTTCATCAGTCCCCTACCTGCTACATAGCAATAAGAAACACATCCTCACCTTCCACTCAGTTCTGCTAGTATATTGTGTATTTTGTTTCCAGAATTGTTCTTCATTCTGATGTCTAGAGTACTGCTGAACATAAGCTAAAAAAAGGAACATAAGGCCATGTAAGCAAATTTACAACAGAAAGTTAAAATGTTCCCCAAAGGGCTACCAGAAAATCATGCGTGTCAGAGGAGCAGGGCAGGGGAGTGGTGGGATCACATTCCTAAGCAGTAATGAATATAAAAGATTTAAACCTCCTCAAACCAAAGCAGACTGTAGAAGTGACTGTGCTTATACAAACATTCAAAATCTAAAAAGAACACAGATGCTGAATTTCTCTATCGCATTTTGGTGGGCAGGAAGTAAATGTCTTGCTGGCATTCTGGTCTTCTGAAACTCCGTTTTGCACAATGTTGTTTGCATTGGCCTAACTTCTATACAGGACTTTTTCTCAGTTTTCTACAGTAAAGCAAACTCACTTGATAGTGATGCTCCCTGAAACACTCTGCTTCAGATATTCCCGACAGCTTCACCTGAAAGCGTTTATCGTAGAATGTTCTAGCCAGTGTTTTACCTCTCTTAGATGCAACACCACACTTCGGCAGTACCAAAGGCTGCAAGCAATACCAATTCCCTGTCCAAAATTGCTCCCTTCTCAGGGTCTATTTTATCTTCAAGTGAAAAATGAAGAATTTAAAGGGTGATTTCAAGAAATAATTTATCAATCATATGTCTTCTCTGTGCCAGGACAAACAGTATCTATGCTCACCCAGAGTATGTTGTTGTCCATAATTATTAACTCCACCAAGTTCAAAGAAATATAAATGGGATGTTTTCTACAGAGGCCGAAAGTATACTGTTATCTTACTTCTAAGTTCTCGTGTTATTTCACACAAGAAATTGTCCAGTTGTCTTTAGGTGACTTGTTATTTCATCAGATGTCATATTTTCTTGCTTCATGGACATACAATTCCTATAAATACGCACGGGAGGCGAAGGAACGTAAGAAAAAAATAGTATGTATTTTTGAAATAACTAATTATTTAAATAAAACTATTTAATAAACATTACAGTGTTAACGCATACCAAATATTCTTGGTCTACCAGATTTTAATCTGTGGTTTTACACTTTAGTCTTAAAATAGTACCAAAAAAATCACAAAATATCTAAGCATTGAAGTTGGATATCTAAAATATTTTTAATTAAACATTTTGGACAACATACCAGATATGCTTCTTTTGGATAGGTGGACCTGAAAACACTTACGCTTCACAAATATTAGCACTGCAAACATATTTAAAATAGTTAACCATCTTGACAAATCTTGCCAAAGTAGACATGTTTGTACTGATCTGCCTTTGCACTTCCCTGTTTTATCAAAAGGCCTGGCTCAAACATTAGGTCTACAATAAACTCTTGAGGAGGAAGTAGAAGCCCAGCTATTCCTTGAGGAGAGTCATCAACCAATTTAACTTCGTTCCAAGCTCTGTTATACTCGCCACGAACTAAACTACAGCCAATGCCAATTCTGTCTGCTATCACCTAAAAAGGAAAGAAAAAGGTTAAGCATGGTTAATACATGTACCTTGTGCATACAAATACCTCAATAGCCAAGAGGTTTCTTGAAACAGACTTTGTAAATCTCTAAAGTGTTCCAAACTGCAAATCTTTATTACAGAATCACAGAATGTTCAGGGTTGGAAGGGACCTCTGTGGGTCATCTAGTCCAACCCTCCTGTCGAAGCAGGGTCACCTACAGGAGGCTGCACAGGACCTTGTCCAGGTGGGTCTTGAATATCTCCAGAGAAGGAGACTCCACAACCTCCCTGGGCAGCCTGTTCCAGTGCTCCGTCACCCTCAGAGGGAAGAAGTTCTTCCTCATGTTCAGATGGAACTTTCTATGCTTCAGTTTGTGCCCATTGCCCCTTGTCCTGTTGCTGGGCACCACTGAAAAGAGCTTAGCCCCATCCTCCTGACACCCACCCTTCAGATATTTGTAAGTATGTATTAGGTCCCCTCGCAGCCTTCTCTTCTTCAGGCTGAACAAGCCCAGCTCCCTCAGCCTCTCCTC